CACCCTTATAAGGCAGACACCTGTCTATAAAGGCAGACACCTGTCTATAAAGGCAGACACCTGTCTATAAAGGCAGACACCTGTCTATAAAGGCAGACACCTGTCTATAAAGGCAGACACCTGTCTATAAAGGCAGACACCTATCTATAAAGGTCATTTTGTGGGTTTCTTTTGAGTGACTCTTAATACACAGGTTTGACTGCATTGACTACGACCGGCAGATAAAGATTCGATAGAATTGCTCGCACTTTTGGGATTCTCACGACAGATCTGAAGTGCATCAAAAAGTGATTGCTGCAGTTTCACCTGATCACGAACAGATGCTATGCTTGGCGATACACAGCCGATGAACCGCTTGGTTTTTGGCAATGCCATGGCATGAGGTACCTACCCCATAACATCTACCAGTCACAACGCCACCGTATGTACACGCACGACGCGCGCTAGCATTCGTGTGCGCAAATACCAGAGCGAAATGCTGCGCGCATGTGTCGCGGCGAGCTCGCACCTGTTCCGCGATGTCGTCCCGGATGACAATGTTGCCGATCTCTTCCAGCAGCTGCGCGAGGGACTGCAGCGTGTTCGTAGCCGTGACCAGGTTCTCAGCGGCCCTCTGTCTCAGCAGCACGTCGATCTCCTGCGAGAAAGATGCTTCGTTTTAACGAGCAATTAAAAAAAAAACTGCGAGTTGTTTCTGTCTGCTGCGCGGAAACCTTGATCAGTACTGAGCGACGGCGATAGAGCACGTCAAGACGCTGAAAATTCTAAACCACCGTGGATACCATTATTGGCAAACATATTAAGTGGGAACGTACTAGTAGCACCATCAACATACCCACGTTCGATGTATACATTCAATATAATTGGAGGATAGATATGTTTGTGCTACTATGAGCACTTCAGCTCTCACCCAGTGTGTGATCCTGCTGCCATCTGGTGGGCTCCTCCCAACATTCGGCAGTACTCCTTCCTAGAGTAAATGCATGTCACGCCGAGTTAAAACACCTGTGCTCTCTCCCCTGTGCTTTCTCCCCACGCGTGAAGGGTGGATACACGCCTACAGTTCTCTGCACGATACCGGCGCTTACGCACGTGAATTTCAAGATACATTCGGAAGGACAATGCCATGGTCACGCAGCATGTCCACTGTCAACTGTCAACTGTCAACTGCATTGCAGAAGTGACATACCATCATACAACTGTCATGTTACATAATACCGGGCGATGAACAGCATGAACTTCCACTAACATTCCAAACTACATTAACAACCATCTCTATAGAACAAACACCTGCCTATAAAAAAAGACACTCTTGTGGGTTTCCTCGAGTCACAATTATAGAGTGAAACCACTTCTATAGAACAGGCCCCTGTCTACAAAGGACATATTTGGTGTAACCGTCAACTGACCCTTATACACAGGTGGGACTATAGTTAACTCCGGACGACGCGCATGCTCACGTCTCATCAAGTCGTATGAATGTGCAAGTTTGCACACACGCACCTTCGTTGGTTCGATCCCCAGCAGCAGCGCCAGCTGGTGACGAAAGACGTTAACGATGGGCGCCATCTGGAGGGTGACCTCGCGGGGCACCGGCGAGGATTCGGGCGCGTCAGGCACGTTGTAGATTGCGATGCCGCCCCAGCGCGGACTCAGGAACGCGTTACTCTCTAACGCTTTACCTGTCGACGGATGCAGCGCTCAGTCAGGTAATACTAACGATGTGATCGCAACGCTAACAGGTGAGGGAGCACTAACGATGTGATCGCAATGCTAACAGGTGAGGGAGCACTAACGATGT